AGTTCATTAGCACATAAAAAAATGTTTTTAAAATATATGTAGAATTACTATGTGGTGTTAGAGAATTCAAAAACTGAAGATTTCTTTCAACGACTCACCATTATTAAGCAGTCTCTGGTTTTTGTTGGTTCCCTCAGTGAGTCAGCTGTAAATTTAAGGATTTTAGCGTGTTTCGTGATGAACAGAACGCAGATAGCCTATTGTGACACTTTGGGCTAAAATAAACTTTGCATCGACACAAAGTTAGAGAAACATTCCTTTTATATATTTAAGACTCGTCTTCGGACAGTTGAAGTATCAGCCATGTAGTCAATAAATCATTTGAATAGAAATATGGAATTGTGAGAGACTTAAGATAGAATTAATCTAATCTCTAAGCTTACTATAGGTAGTTGTATGAGTCAAATGTTTAGTAAAAGTGAATGAAATATTCTGAAAAAGTCTAGCCATTTGTGCAAGGCTTAACTGACACCTCATTCGAGCCCTTTTTTATATCACGTTCTTCTGTTGTGAGAAAAATAATCTGGCGATTAACAGGTAAAATGTTTTAAGGTTAATTCTATTTGAGAAACTTTATACTTATTAAAGTCCGCCTTTTTTACCGGAGTTTCCATTTGGGTGACACTACCGACTTTTAACTTTGATATAGTAAAACCTTTTCAGTACCGATGTTGCTCTAAGGCGACTAAAATCCCCCTCTAATTAGTAAATGAAGTTATCTAAAAATACCCAGACAGTTAACGCTTAACGTATACATAATTTTAACTTTATGTTTTACTAAAATTCTTATAGAGCGAGTAAATTGTCTGAGACTACCAGAGAGTAAGTTCATTTAAATGTACAAATTTACATACAATGGGCTTAATTTAGATCTACTTAAATATATATATATATATTATTTGTGTAACGGAAATTCTCCTTTGACGAATACATTCGATTGGCTTGTAAAGTATTCGAAAATATTTTCTCCGTGCGAGACTTATAACTCAAATATGATATAATTCCTTAATATCCAGAAGATGTTTTCCTGGGTAGAGTTGGGGGGGGGGGCGAGCACATTTATCCATAAATTATTAAAGAGCAAAACTGTGGGGATCCACTTAAATGAATACACCTGTTTTTTAGATAGTTTTTCTTATAGGTAGATTATTTTATGAAAGATATAAGCTGAAATACCCGCCAGCAGGCGGGGAATGTTTAAACTTAATTAAAACAATATAAGTTTAACAGCACTCATATATTTCAAAGTAATAACTTGAACATAAACTTTTAAAGTTTTAAAATTTTAAAGTTATAATAAAGCTTCTTCATAACCAACATTTTGCTTTCCATCTACCAACAAAGAAAGATTTTGAGGTGATCCCACCCTTGAACACCATACATCTCATTGACCATGCAAAGAACATGGTTGTTTGAGAAACAATCCAACAACTTTCATACATTGACGTTGAAACCCATTAAA